CATAATTATTCATGGAATCTTTGTAGTCCGAGTGGCATTCCTTAGTAAAGAGCATAGGTGAAGAACAAAAGAAGATCATCGACGCCATGGCCACCGACTTCAAATCCATCCCAATTATCGGTAAATTTTATATTATCCCATGATTTCCCTTTCCTCGAAATTTATCTTTTTAATCTATTTGATTGATTGATAAAAGTTTTACTTTCAGAAATCTTTTGGTTTTCTATAATCTCTATGCTATGATTCAAATTATTGATTGAAATTTCTGAATCATCAATTTGAGTGTTTGAGTCTGGGTTTCAAAAAGGGTTCGATTAATTCAAGCCAAAAGCACAATGAAACAGTGTAATTTTTCGTGGAATTGGAATATATTGATGAAATTTGTACTTTTAAAAATCCGAATCTTCATAAACTGTGTTTATCTGTTGGATTTTTATTGCCTTTTTATGCTTATTTATAAATTGTTATATAGATATTGCTCCTTTGTTGGCCAAATGCGATGATCCAAAAATGGCTCAAGACCCTGGTGTATGTGAAGTTGTTAAGCAATTAGAGAAGGCTTGCCGTGAGGCTGGGTTCATCTATGCGGTAAAATTCTCACTTTGGTTTTTTATTCTATTTCTTTGTTCTTCCGAACTCAAAGAGAATTTTACATCTATGATGCTCAAACTCGGTTGTAACATGTTCGGATTTTTTCAAGGTTTTTCGAAATATATGGAACCCTCGGATAAAGAGTCGAAGCAAAATAGGTTTACATTAGTATTTCACTAGTAGTTAAAGAATTTAGGTTTTTTAATTGAAGTTTCTGGTATCTTACTGAAGTTTTCTATATGTCTCAATGCTAGCCCAACTTATCACTGTATTTTTTCCCTTTGATTCGTGCACATTCGGATTCATTAGAAGGTTCATGGTATCCCTGAGACTATGGTGAAAGAGGTTAGAAATGTAACACGCAAATTCTTTGATCTTCCATACGAAGAAAAACTCAAGATCGAGTTGACACCAGCTGCTGGATACAGGTCTGTTTGGTGAAGTAAAATCTGTGTATAAATGTCGTTTCAGATTATTGATTAGTTTATATGATTCGTTGACCTTGTAAGGTGACACTCGAAGCCTCGAATGCAGGGGATACTATAGAATTGGAGAAAACATTACCAAAGGTGTGCCCGATATGCACGAAGCTATTGATGTGGGTGTTATCTGTAACTACTTTTTGTTCCTCCATTTCATCTACATTGCATTGCATGGCGTTGCGTTGCTATTGCAAGGTACCAGTGGGAATTTTTATGTTCTGTTTAACCTAAAATGTTTTGATTGGAATATACCTTCAATATAGAAGTTCTCTACTGGTACCATGTTGCTAGTACCAGTCAATCATCACTGAAAGGATTCTATCCACTACATTATATAAAAGGGAGAGTAATGGACTTTCGACTTATTTTAAAGTTTACATCTGTTCAAATCATCTTTTATTTTTGATTAATTATTATTCACCAATTTTTAAGGGGTATTTATCACCATATTCAATTTAAAATCTTAAAGTTTCAATCAAAGATTTTGTTAAAAACACATTATTCACTCTTAGATAGTGTCACGGATACTCCGAACACTTGGAGAGGACCTTTGCATGAACTATCTCAGTGCAGTCCCAAAAAGGTGGTTTTACTTTTTATGATGTTATATAATGCTTTTAACCATCTCAATTATATTGTCATTTTCCTTTCTATTCGGGATTAACTTTGACTGTTACATTATAGGAAAGTATTCACATAAGCAGCACGTTATGTCTGCTTCGGTATATATGATACTGATTTGTGTGCCGCTTTGGATTACAGTGCTATAAAGAACTAAAACAAGGGATGTACGGAGATCTTGGCAAACCCATGGAAGGATGCAATCAATGGTATGTTTAAAGACTTAGTCGTTTCTCAAACATATACATATTACAAAATTTTTGTGCATGCGGGCGTAAATATTATCAAATGACATTGAGATTGATGAACTTTGGAAGGGCCTTAGTACAATGTTAAAGATTTTTTCTTTCATACAAGGACTTGGAATTTGCTGTGTGTATTGCCGTTAATGATTGGTAATGCTTGACAATTAATTGATTGGATTAAGCCATTGCAAAATGGTTTATACATCCTACAATGATTATGAATTTTCCATGCACGGGAACAGCGGTACTAACAATTTTGCATATAGTGGATGATTTGGAAGTTTGGAGGTTGAGTTTCGGAATTGATATTCTTTTGTTTTGACAGGCCGCATAATCCTCCAAACTTCAAAGAACTGATGGAGGAGTATATCCGTCTCTGTACAGGCATGCTCGTGTTTTGCAAATTTGTGTTCTCCTTTAATAATTTTTACTTGGCTGGAAATTCATGGCAGCTTTTGGATTCTTGGTAATGACAGAACTGTCAAGAAAAATTATGCGGGGAATTGCTCTTGCATTGGGTGGTTCACCAGATGAATTCGAAAGGGAAAGATGCGGTGATGCATTTTGGGTGATGCACCTTATTGGTTACCCGGGAGCATCAACTGCAAATGGAAAATGTAAACCTGAAACTGACATTGGATGATAATAGAATGTGTAACACCCCCAACCCGTACCCGACCCGGATATGAGTCAGAGATACTACATTGACTTTAAAACACAACTCTTAACAAATAATAGCAAAATATTTGAACTTATATTAAGAAAATACGATAATATACATATTGTATATAGTTTACCAAAATTCAGAGCATACACAACTTAACCCTTTAATTACATGCCAACTACCATTTACATAACAAAATGACCTACTGATTAAGTTGCTTCTGATCTGGTGGTTGCAGGAGTAATGCTGTCAAGCTGCTTAACCTGTCTCGTCTACTTTCTCGGATCCTACGTGTGAAACACTCACACGCTAAGTCATCGACTTAGTGAGGCAATGTAATAATAATAACAAAGCAATGTAATGACCATGTCATAATGATATGAAATGAGATGCAAACATGTACTTAATCAATGTAGTCTACATCATCAATATCCATACCTGTAAGCATATTACTTTAACATTCATGAATTTGTATTAATAAGTTTTTTGGCCCATGATATCATACTGAGAACCTAAGGTATCTGAGTAATGTGAGGTTGTGCACTATGCTGTCACCACAGCTTGTATAAATGCACCGAAGTGCCGCGTAGAATTGCACCGTAGTGCCATATAATAATGTCCATAAGGACCACATAGAATTCCTTAAGATCATATACATATGCTAGGGATCACATATGTGTCTCACCAGACTTCACACATGTTCCAAGAATATATATCCCGAAGGACCGCGTAGAATTTTGACCCGAAGGACCGCGTAGACCCTCTACCCTTGGCATGCCAACTATACCTATAGTTCTCATCTACATAACATGGGCTTTTACATTTCACGTAGTCTATATCGCGTAGACATGTAAATTCTCACCTTTTCACATAGCTCATAACTTTCTTGCATATTCATGTCATATAATGCATTTTATATGAATTCATGTCATGTCTCATAATACAAAATATGCTCATATGCCAAGATATAAATCTAGACTTATCACAAGTCTAGAATGGAGTATATTTCTATAATTATGCTATGCATATGCACTCACCTATATTTCTTTGCCTTCTCTTCGATCGATCCTACTTGTAGATTGTTCCCGAACTCGTATAGGCTCGGTATCTACATAAACATAATTTTCAAGATGATCATCAGATGTCTATGTCTTGAAATTAATCTTTAATAGCTACCAATTTAAGGAATTAATAGTTTAGTCTTTCTTTCTTTTCTCTTTTTTTTTACATGGGGGAATCGGTTCCCCCCTGGGGGTATCGATTCCCCTCTAGCATTCTGGAAATTCATATTCGTTGAGGGGGTATCGATTCCCCTTGAATGGGTACCGATTCCCCTAGCCCAGAAATCCTATTTTGAGCTCGAAAATCATCTCATTTCAGCTCAAACATACCTATTTCACTCCCTTTAATACTCTTAGCTTTCATACACTTACTTAAACTAATTATTATCCATTCAATACCTCTAAAACTAAAAAAACTAATCATCCATATAGAATTGAAGAATCTTACTCAAATTCCAACTTGTTATAATTTCAATTCTATTACCTCATACTTCTTAATTAACTTGATGACAAGTCAAATCCAGCTTCTAATTCTTATTATGACCTTTAATCTAAGATTTCATTCAATGGCTCTCAACCTTTAATCTCCCTTAACTTTCAATTCTTTGAGTTCTAGGATCCTTGTTTCTCTCCATCATATTTCCTACATCTTCATTAACCAAATCCATGCTTAACTCATAAGAATTAATCCAAAAGAAGACAACTTACCTTTGCTTGCAAGCTTCACGGTTGGAGAAGGAAGAGAAGAAGAGAAAAGTCTAGAATGTTTCTCATATGCCCACATGATTTATAAAATCACCCTAAGGAATATTTAATTATTTCACTTACTAAATTACTCTTTTGCCCTCTTAATTCTCCTTCTTTATAATTCAATCCTACACCAAATAACTCAAATAGGTCATTGAACTCTTCCATCATTTTACTTAAATCACCAAATGTTGAAACTTTGCAAATTAATCACTAACCCGGCATAGAGGATGTTACAAATCTCCCTCCCTTAAGAAAATTCGTCCTTGAATTTTCAATAAGAAAAGAGATGGGGATACTGATTCCTCATATCCTCCTCACGCTCCCATGTTGCTTCCTCCACTTTGTGATTCTTCCATAAAACTTTAACCAATGGAATAGTCTTATTCCTCAATTGCTTAACCTCATGAGCTAAAATTTGAATCGGTTCTTCCTCATAAGTCATATCCGGTTGTACCTCGATCTCTTCTGGATTTATGATATGGGAGGGATCAGATCTATATCTTCGAAGCATTGAAACGTGAAAGACATCATGTATCTTTTCCATCTCAGGTGGTAAAGCTAGCCGATATGCTACAGGTCCTACTCTTTTTACAATCTCATATGGTCCAATAAACCGAGGACTCAGTTTTCCTTTCCGACCAAACCTCAACACATTCTTCCATGGAGATACCTTTAAAAACTCTTTATCCCCAACTTCAAATTCAATCTCCTTTCTTTTAAGATCAGAATAGGACTTTTGCCGATCAGAGGCCACTTTGAGGTTATGCTGAATTTCTCGAACTTTCTGTTCTACATCTTGAATTAAATCCGGACCAAGAACACTTCGGTCTTTGAGTTAATACCAATTTAATGAGTACGACATTTTCTTCCATATAATGCTTCATATGGGGCCATCTTTATACTAGACTGATAACTATTGTTGTAAGCGAACTCTGCCAGCGGTAAATACTTTTCCCATGATCCTTTAAATTCCATTACGCATGCTCTCAACATATCTTCCAATATCTGAATAGTTCTCTCTGATTTCCCATCAGTCTGAGGATGAAAAGCCGTACTAAAGTTTAAACGAGTCCCCAACGCTTTACGCAAAGATTTCCAGAATCTAGAAGTGAATCGAGGGTCTCGACCAGAGACTATGGAAATAGGTACTCCATGCAATCTAATAACTTCTCTAATATACAGCTCTGCATACTTTTCCATAGAGAAATCCGTTCTAACTGGAAGGAAATGCGCTGACTTAGTTAATCGATCAACAATTACCCAGATTGATTCTCTTTTGTTTGGGGTCAAGGGTAACCCCGAAACAAAATCTATCGTAACATTTTCCCATTTCCATTGAGGAATGAAAAGCGGTTGCAATAATCCTGATGGAACTTGATGCTCGGCTTTGACTTGTTGACATATCAAACACTTAGACACAAAATCGGTGATGCTTCGTTTCAGCCCTGACCACCAAAATCGATTCTTCAAATCCATATACATCTTGGTTCCACCTGGGTGCATCGTTAACGGACTGCAATGAGCCTCTGATAAAATTTCTTTCTTCAAGTCATCATTGTCGGGTATTACAATTCTTCCTTTACAATATAGATTTCCATCTGACTTAATCTCAAAGTTTTTAATCTCTTTGTTCTTTACTTGTTCAATTCTTTTCAAACACACTTCATCTTTAATTTGCAATTCTCCTATTCGTTCCAACCATGCTGGTTTAAGGGTTAATTCTGCACAAAGACCACCGTCTCCCGTTAAAGATAATCTTGCATCCATAGCTCGTAAGGCTGCAAACGTCTTTCTACTCAAAGCATCTGCTACCACATTAGCCTTTCCGGGATGATAGTCAATTATCACATCATAATCCTTTAAGAACTCTACCCATCTACGTTGCCTCAAATTCAATTCTTTTTGAGTCATCAGATACTTCAGGCTCTTATGATCCGTATATAAGTAACAACACTCCCCATAAAGATAATGACGCCAAATCCTGAGAGCGAATACTACAACAGCCATTTCTAAATCATGAGTGGGGTAATTCCTTTCATGTGGTTTCAACTGTCTCGATGCATACGCTACCACCTTTCCTTCTTGCATTAATACACACCCCAACCCGTTATGGGATGCGTCACTGTATACTACAAAATTCTTGCCAGATTCCGGTTGAACCAATATCGGAGTTTCTATCAGAATTCTCTTTAAAGCTTCGAACTTTCTTGACATTCAGAAGTCCAAACAAATGGTACGTTCTTTCTCATTAGCTTTGTTAGAGGCAGCACAATCATCGAAAAATTCTTAACGAATCTTCGATAGTAACCGGCAAGTCCAACAAAACTCCGAACTTCAGACACATTCTTAGGAACTTCCCAATCCATTATAGCTTTAACCTTCTGAGGGTCTACTCTAATCCCAACTGCCGAGATCACATGCCCCAAGAAAATTACTTCCTTTAACCAAAATTCACATTTGGACAATTTCGCATAGAGATTTTTATCCCTGAGAATTTGCAACACTAGCCTCAGATGTGTGTTGTGCTCTTCAATGGACTTCGAGTAAACCAGTATGTCATCAATAAAGACAACAACAAACTGGTCCAGATAGGGCTGAAAAATCCTGTTCATGAGATCCATGAAAGCAGCAGGTGCATTCGTTACTCCGAATGGCATTACGATGAATTCATAATGACCATATCTCGTTCTAAAAGCCGTCTTCGGAATATCTTTCTCCTGGATCTTCAATTGATGATAACCCCAACGTAGATCGATCTTCGAAAATACCGAAGCTCCTTTTAGTTGATCAAACAAGTCATCAATGCGCGGAAGGGGATACTTGTTCTTGATGGTCACCTTATTAAGCTGTCGATAATCAATACAAAGACGCATTGATCCATCATTCTTCTTAACAAATAACACCGGAGCTCCCCAAGGTGACACACTTGGTCGAATAAATCCTTTTTCTAACAAATCTTGCAATTGATTCTTTAACTCTTGCAATTCTTTCGGAGCCATCCGATAAGGTGCCATTGCAATTGGAGCGGTTCCTGGCATTACTTCAATTTGAAATTCTACCTCTCTGTCTGGAGGTAATCCTGGCAATTCAGCAAGAAAAACATCAGGGAACTCTCGAACTATTGGAATCTCCTCTAACCTTTTCTCTTCAGCTCTTGAATCAATCACATTTACAAGAAAACCCTGACATTCTTGTAGCAATAATTTCTTGGCAGACATCACTGATATTACATTTGCTAAAGGATTACACATTTCACTGATCACATTAACTTCTATTCCTTCTGGACTCTTCAGGGTTACCTTTTTCAATCTACAGTCAACATTCCCATAATAATGAAACAACCAATCCATTCCCAGAATCACTTCAAACTCGTCAAAGGGTAATTCCATCAGATTAGCAGGGAATTCAATTCCCTGAACCTTTATGGGACACCCTTTACAGACTTTGTCCACCTGAGTACTATGCCCTAACGGATTAGTTACTATCATCACATTACTCGTAGCTTCTATAGGAATCCTCAACTCCTTTACTAACTTACTTGTAATATAAGAATAATTAGAACCCGGATCAATCAGCACCAATACTAATTTATCATACAGTTGAAAAGTACCTGCAATGATATCAGGATCATCACGGTCATCACTTGTCTTTAGATTGTATACCCGAGCAGTGGATCAAACTTCAGGTTGAGCAGAGAATTCAGACGGGTTCCTTCCTCTGCCTCTTCCTCGTCCTCTTTGTGAGGAAGAACCAACTCTTCCAGATGGTGCAGGCTCCCCAACAATCAATGGACAATCCCGGATAAAATGTCCGGCATCTCCGCATCGAAAACAAGTCCCAGCAGCCATACGACAAGCCCCATAATGGTTTTTCCCACAGTGCTGACACTGTCTCCCTTGACTCGGAGTAGATCTCCCAGCACCAGATTCCACTGACTGCGTCTGTCTAGGTCTTGCCTGACTTAATCCCTTAGCAGACGATGCAACTGATTCTGATCTAGCTTGTGATCGAAATCCCGAGTCTCTTCCCCTTTTGATGGTACTGAGCTAGAAGAAGTAGTCGTCCTCTTTGATGTCTGAACTCTTGAGTCCCCAAATCTTTCATTCTGAGCCCTTTCAAGAGCTTTTGCACGATTAATCACCTCCTGGAACGAGGACAAGTTTAATACTATCAACAATTCTTTAAGTCTAGGGCGCAAGCCCTCCACGAACCATTCGCAAGCATCTTTTTCAGTAGGCACAAGCTCAGCTGCAAACCTGCTTAGCTTATTAAACTCACATTCGTACTCATATACAGAGCGGCTCATCTGCTTCAAATTCATAAACTCATGTTTCATTTGTCGGATAAACTGATCTCCAATATACTTGTTTTTAAATTCTTCTAAAAACAAAGACCAAGTCAACTGGTCGGTTGACATCCTAATGGTGACGTTCGTCCACCATATCCTCGCCTGACCCCTCAATAAAGACACAGCTCCATCTAATTTCTCCACTTCGGAACAGTGGAGACCATCTAACATGATTTTCAAATCATTCAACCAAAGATCCGCTGACACTGGACCTTCCTCAGCTTCTCCCTTAAATTCAGGAGCTCCTAAACCTCTCAACTCTTTTGCTACATTTATTCTTTGAGTTAGTGGAGCAGAAGGTTGAAGACGCGTCAGAATAGCGTCTAACGTTCTGAAGAACGTATCTTGATCTTGCACAGGCACTCCTTGAGATGCCTGTTCTTCACCTTGCCTGGTCAGGGCAGGTGAATTACTGCTTTCAGCATGCTTATCTTCTTCCGCTTCACTTCGGGAGCTATTATGTCCGGACATCTAATAAGAATAAACACATTGTTCTATTAGCAAAACAACATACTCATACTATACCAGATCAGAAGTTCTCACTATTTGTTGGCATGTATTCCATTTAAAGACTCTATAGACTCTGGTTCATGCCTAGAATCGGCTAAACCATAGCTCTGATACCATTAAATATAACACCCCAACCCGTACCCGACCCGGATATGAGTCAGAGATACTACATTGACTTTAAAACACAACTCTTAACAAATAATAGCAAAATATTTAAACTTATATTAAGAAAATACGATAATATACATATTGTAATATAAGTTTACCAAAATATTCAGAGCATACACAACTTAACCCTTTAATTACATGCCAACTACCATTTACATAACAAAATGACCTACTGATTAAGTTGCTTCTGATCTGGTGGTTGCAGGAGTAATGTTGTCAAGCTGCTTAACCTGTCTCGTCTACTTTCTCGAATCCTACATGTGAAACACTCACACGCTAAGTCATCGACTTAGTGAGGCAATGTAATAATAATAACAAAGCAATGTAATGACCATGTCATAATTATATGAAATGAGATGCAAACATGTACTTAATCAATGTAGTCTACATCATCAATATCCATACCTGTAAGCATATTACTTTAACATTCATGAATTTGTATTAATAAGTTTATTGGCCCATGATATCATACTGAGAACCTAAGGTATCTGAGTAATGTGAGGTTGTGCACTATGTTGTCACCACAGCTCGTATAAATGCACCGAAGTGCCGCGTAGAATTGCACCGTAGTGCCATATAATAATTTCCATAAGGACCACATAGAATTCCTTAAGAATCATATACATATGCTAGGGATCACATATGTGTCTCACCAGACTTCACACATGTTCCAAAGAATATATATATATCCCGAAGGACCGCGTAGAATTTTGTCCCGAAGGACCGCGTAGACCCTCTACCCTTGGCATGCCAACTATACCTATAGTTCTCATCTACATAACATGGGCTTTTACATTTCACGTAGTCTATATCGCGTAGACATGTAAATTCTTACCTTTTCACATAGCTCATAACTTTTCTTGCATATTCATGTCATATAATGCATTTTATATGAATTCATGTCATGTCTCATAATACAAAATATGCTCATGTGCCAAGATATAAAATCTAGACTTATCACAAGTCTAGAATGGAGTATATTTCTATAATTATGCTATGCATATGCACTCACCTATATTTCTTTGCCTTCTCTTCGATCGATCCTACTTGTAGATTGTTCCCGAACTCGTATAGGCTCGGTATCTACATAAACATAATTTTCAAGATGATCATCAGATGTCTATGTCTTGAAATTAATCTTTAATAGCTACCAATTTAAGGAATTAATAGTTTAGTCTTTCTTTCTTTACTCTTTTTTTTACATGGGGGAATCGGTTCCCCCCCTGGGGGTATCGATTCCCCTCTAGCATTTTGGAAATTCATATTCGTTGAGGGGGTATCGATTCCCCTTGAATGGGTACCGATTCCCCTAGCCCAGAAATCCTATTTTGAGCTCGAAAATCATCTCATTTCAGCTCAAACATACCTATTTCACTCCCTTTAATACTCTTAGCTTTCATACACTTACTTAAACTAATTATTATCCATTCAATACCTCTAAAACTAAAAAAACTAATCATCCATATAGAATTGAAGAATCTTACTCAAATTCCAACTTGTTCTAATTTCAATTCTATTACCTCATACTTCTTAATTAACTTGATGACAAGTCAAATCCAACTTCTAATTCTTATTATGACCTTTAATCTAAGATTTCATTCAATGGCTCTCAACCTTTAATCTCCCTTGACTTGCAATTCTTTGAGTTCTAGGATCCTTGTTTCTCTCCATCATATTTCCTACATCTTCATTAACCAAATCCATGCTTAACTCATAAGAATTAATCCAAAAGAAGACAACTTACCTTTGCTTGCAAGCTTCACGGTTGGAGAAGGAAGAGAAGAAGAGAAAAGTCTGGAATGTTTCTCATATGCCCACGTGATTTATAAAATCACCCTAAGGAATATTTAATTATTTCACTTACTAAATTACTCTTTTGCCCTCTTAATTCTCCTTCTTTATAATTCAATCCTACACCAAATAACTCAAATAGGTCATTGAACTCTTCCATCATTTTACTTAAATCACCAAATGTTGAAACTTTGCAAATTAATCACTAACCCGGCATGGAGGATTATACAGAATGTGAATGCGACTGGTTTTCCCTCTTGCTTAATTACTGCCGTTTTAGTATGTCCTTGTTCTCATTTGCTTCTGTCTCTGTCTTCCGGGCCAAACAATTCAGCGGTGCACGCACGGACTATGATGAAGTGCCCTTTTAACTTGAGATAAGTGGTTTAAAAGATTTAATTTTAAAACAACATTTTGTCAATGTTTCAACATGTTTGTTAACACTGGCGAACCAAGATGAAAATATCACTGCACTTCAGGTATGATCCCCTTAGTTTCTGGTTTTAAGAAATCGACAAAACGGATCAGTTCTCACGGATTCTCTTGATTGGAAGAGAAGTGTGAACCAAACATCACGTTTAACCGCTTCTTCTTTCTAGCTCTGGACAACATTTCTTCATTTATCATTCTGAAAATAATCGCGGCTACAGTTAGCAAGTTTATTTTGTATGACCAAAGCATTGCTTACTCCATTTTTCTCCATCTTCTCTTTGTTAACCAAATATGAAACCCTTTCTTGTCTTGGGGATAATCCTTTCTTTCTTGAGGCCTAATAGTTTATGCTGGATGGTTTCACATTTTCCCGACTCCAGGTTTATGCCTTGTCTATCGCTGTTTTAAATCCCGTTCCATTATTTTTCAACAACAGGTTATCTAAACAAATTATGCAGGTGAGAAACCAATCCGGTGAGTGGATCTCAGCTCCTCCGATTCCCGGAACATTTGTCTGCAACATTGGTGATATGTTGAAGGTACATTAACGCAATGCTAAAAGTGGTTTAAAATGTCTTTATTTCCATTTTTGATTATATCGTACTAAAATGTTTGGTGTAACTGCAGATACTATCTAATGGTTTATACGACTCAACTCTACACCGAGTTATCAATACATCTCCTACATATCGGGTCTGTGTAGCATATTTTTACGAGGTTAATATTTACAAGTTGCCTTTATCTTCTGTCGTGTTTGTCCTTTTTCTTTCTGTGCTTTTCCGAACAGCTGAATTATGATGCAGCGGTGGAGCCTTTGGAAGTCTTCTTACAGAGGAGCGGTGGAACTCGGAAGTTCGGAAAAGCTGTTTACGGAGAACATTTAGTTAGCAAAGTTAAAACAAACTTTGTAATGTAATAGTTTTGCTTTGGAATTTTCAGGCCAAACATTTCGTCCTGTGATAGTACTTTTGACTTAATAATGTCTGATATTGCAGTGATGAAGCTTGAGATGAAAACTGATCGTTCAAATTTCGTTTCTGATTTGATTTGCAAGACTGAAACAGATTTGGTTATTTTTTACCTGTAAGATATTTATTTATCGATATTCAGCACGTATTTCTTAATCATTAACATCACACAAATCGTATTTCTTAATAATCGACAACACACACCATATAGATGCAACTATTCAAAGAACAAAACTCCCTTGAATCCACATGAGTATGCAACTGTTCTAACTCATAATATCTAAGAAGAACAAAACTCCTTTGAATCCACATGAGTTTGAGTAGATAAATTGATTAACGTATCATTAAGATTTGTACAATGAATACAGTCTTCGAGCAAAACGTGTATCGTACTAGTGCACTGACATTATGCATTTAAATGCATGTAAATATAATATACGGTCCTCAAAAATTGAATTATTTACTCATTTAGGCTTCAAATCTAGAACTTATTAGTTGCAAACTGATTGAGTATATTTGAATCGAGTTCCAAAGTGAAGTCCTGGTTGGCAAATTTCTTTCAAAGTTTGGTTTAATGCAACAAAACTAAACACAAAATTGGCAAAGGCTGCTCTAATATTGAAGCCATGAAGATTCCAAAAACAAATGAATTTTCTTTCTGAAATTCGCCACTCAAAAATTAATTGCATGGCATGGGGTCACACACTAGCGATTCAAGAAAATCAAGAACATAGCCGTTTAACACAGTTTTAGCAAAGGGGAGACGATGCAATACAACTATAAGCAAACAATCATTGGAAAACACTTGGACAATTGTTTCCCCTGGGTTTTCCGAATTCCCAAGAAAAAAATTGTAAATCAAGCAAGAACTACAAAAAGCATTTTAAAATAATGATTCATCTCACAAACTTACAGTTGCATTATGAATTATGATCAGAGAAAAGAGTATTGTTCCAACTCTTTAAAAGATCATTCACAAGTTGCTATTGAAAGTATCATCACCGTTGGACCACCTTCTAAATGTGCATGCCACTATATTCCTACTAGCAAAAAGCCCAAATTTTAACCTTAACAATGCTAACCTGCCATTGCTGCTCGTCGAAGCATCTCCTGTGGTTACCTGTGGATAATCCGGCCCGACTTCCTGAATTCCACCATTGCTGACACTAGCCTCGAAACCACCATCTATCTCACAAGCATCCATATTGATCACTAGAGATCCTCTTTGTTCGCGCAACCATTCTCTGGCCTCGCAACTCACTCCTTTACATTTCCTCAACTTAATTTTCACTAAACTGGGACAACCAGAACCCAATGCTTCAATTGCGATGTCCGAAATAGGACACCCCTTGATGCAAAGTCTCTTCAAGGCCGTACATTTTGCTGCAATGCATGCAATCTCTGTATTACCAATAGTTCCACTTCCGCAAAGTGCTAATCTTTCGAGTTTCGAGCAATTAGAAGCAATGGCTTCCAAGCTCAAATAAGTAACATTGACACCAATCAAAACTAGTTCTTCTAAATTAGGACAGTGTTTGGCAACAGCAGCCAAACCCTCATCTCCAATCCTATTAGTCCTCCATCCATCAACATGAAGCTTCTTTAACAACTTACAGTGTTCAGCTACACAAAAAAGCCCATAATTCGAACAATCTGGGGTTTTCACAATATGCAAAGTCTCAATTTTGGTACATTTGGAAATAGAAGATAGGCCTATATCACTTATTTGAAGCCTCTCAAGGTGAATTTCCATCAGCTGATCATTGTTACCATTGCTATCATAGTTATTAGGATCAAAATTTTTTTGGTATCGATTTCGATTCCCAATTAATTGAAGGACTCTATCCCAATCACCCAAACAATGAATAATTTTCAAAGCTTTAAGGTTTTTAGCTCCAACAATAAGCGGTTCAAAGGACTGACCGTTAACGAGCTCTTTCAAGCAAATCGTTTTCAGTGAAGAAGCCGCTGCTCCCGGCCCGATAGCCTGAGTTCCGTTGTTGATCCCTCTAGACCTTTTCACCGATAACTCTTCTAAATTCGTGCAATAATCAAGGACGGCGTTCAAACCTCCGGCGCCGAACATACAAGAACCGCAAGAAATCTTCCTCAATTTATTAGAATTTTGAGCAAAAGCCAACATCCCTTCGTCGCTGATTTCACGACAACCGCGGAGCTTCAACCGTTCGAGGTTTCGGCAACGGATCGAGATCATCACCAAAGCGTCATCGTTTAAGCTGATCGATTTACGGCTACAACGCAGACTGAGTTTCGTTACGGAATCGAAGCGCGTGAAGAGAGAAGACAAAGAAGCGACGATCTCAGATTGGGCGTTGAGAGACAAACGGTGACGGCTCCAACCGTCAACGCAAAGCCACCTCTTGCATACGAGCGAACAACGGTTCCGATCGCCGGGAAAGAGGAATTGCAAACATAAGCTAAACACTCATCGGGAATCTCAGCTGTGTAATCCCGATTCTCCACAAACTCATCGGAAAATCCATCGCTGGAAACAAAACTAGAACTGGAAAAGCCGAATCGATCGCTGAAGGAGTTCTCCCTGTCTAAAGAGGCAGAAGGAGATTGACCCATTGTACCGGGTGCAGTATACTTGCCACCGGTATAAGCAGCACCTCGGATTAGACTCTTCTTTGGACTGTTTTCTCAGAGAAAAGAAGAAGAAAGATCAGATTTGAAGACAATGTTGATTCAGATGGGAAATTATAAGGCAAAAAGAACAAAGGGTTGAAATGTAGGGTTCATGAATTTAGCCCCGTCAAAGGGGGGATGCTTCTCCTCGTCGCAACCGCTACGGCCGACTAAACACCCATTATTTTAATTACATCCCCCAATCATCTTCTTCCTTTGCGCGTGCTATTTTTTGGGATAATTATATAATTGATCCCTATACTCTTCACGATTTTCAAACTTTAACCCTTCTACTTTTATTTCTTGACAGTGAGCCATTTATTTAAAGTTATATGATTTAATATGATAGTTGTAACAACATTTGTTTTTTAAAATTTTGGTTCTAATGTTATAAAAAACAAAATATTGGTACTTGTTTGGAATACCATCCTAATAATTAGGGTTTCATAAGTGTCTTATACGTGTACATGTATAATTTCTAGATAAAATACATGCAATCAACGGTCAAACAATGTGGTTCAAACAACTTAATTGGTGGTCCAATACGCTAGAAAAGTAATGTGGCTCGATTAAGAGTTAGTGTTTGAAAATTAATTTTGAAGTGGGAATAAGTTGATTCAGTGACACGAAGTATTAGATTTTTTTTACGTAAAATTAAGAGTTTAAATTTTGATGTAATGAATATAATAAATTGAATTGAAAGGAATTTTATAATATTTATCTCGATTAATCGATTAATAGATTAAATATCAATAAATAAATAAAGTAAAATTTTAATGAATAAAATGATTATATTACGCATTATTTTTAAAAATATTGGGGGTAGTAGACTACACCTAATGTCATTTAGTTATAAATTTGATAATAGATGTGTCGTTTTTTATAAAACTTATAAACATGTCATTCAATTAATATATTATTATCAACGTCATTTAACCGTTAAATATTAAACGAAATAATCATATGACATGATATAATAATAAATTTAGTATTTATAAATTATATGATTTATTTATATGATCTTATTCTGAAATAATTTAATAAACTTAATCTTTATTATTTAAAATTTTCATCGATTTTGTTTTTGTTCTTTTTTCCCAAAAATGTGATATTGATTTTATTAAGGAATTTAAATGAACCGATGAATTGTTCATGAACCATTTCTATATCGTTTATTTATGTTCGTTTGTTAAGTTAAATAAACGAGTGTGAACAATTTTTTTTTATGTTCATTTATACACGAACAAAGGTATGTTCAGTTTGTTTATGTTCACAAACCAACTCGTTTATGAGCTTGTTTATCGACTCGTTCATTTATGTTCATGAACAAGCATGTTCATATGGTTCTTCTTTTCCTTTTTTTTTACATTTTAATATTGGTGAAGGTATGGACTAAATTGAACACATGATAAAAGTTAAAATTTAAACTATAAAATTTAAAGAGTTTAAAAACTAATAGCGTAATTTTACCATTTTCTTTTAGCTCGAATGTAAAATACAATGTAAAACTAAAATTTGAACACATAAGCAAACACTAGACGAACATGTTCATGGATGCAAATGAACAAGTTTGTGAACATACAAACAAACATGTTCACGAACATTGAACGAACACAAACCGAACATGAACACCTTAAAAAATAAACAAATGAACACGAATATAACTTTATTCGTTCAAACTATGATCATTTACACCCCTACGATTCCCCTTTTGCAGTGTTCTTCAGGTCCTCTTATCCCCTTTTGCATCTAGAAAGATAAAAACATAATAAATTAGATAGGCTCAATTAGAGAATGAAGGCAAACAATAATGGCAACAACATAAACTATAAGAATAGTTACCAATTGTTAAAAGATTCCTCAACATGCAGTCATACTTTATATATGGACACGGATAATGAACAAAAGTATTAAGATATCAATAAACAAGCCAGCATCAAAGGAGTTAACTGACCAGTAGAGCTTTTTGGCTTTGTATGACTTGAACGCCCTAACCTTGAACCTCTTTCAACACCCTGTTTTTTGTCAAGGGCTTGCTGCTTGATGACATTCTCTTCAGTATTTTTCATCAACCGATCAGCTGCTACCCATTTGTCCCCGACTGTTGGCAATATGTCCAAGCCATAGTAATGGTTTCTGTTTCCCGTTTGAGAAAGTGGAAAATGAAAGCAATCATTTTCCAGTAATATATTGAGTTTTGATTACCTTTCAGGATTTCATTATAGCATAAATGAATTAGTACCCACAAAGAAAATGTAAGAACAAAAAATATGCAAATTTAAACCAAACAAACCTTATATCTCTTGATTAAATAAATATTTTAGCTTAAATATATGTCAGGGTCCCCAATTTAATTGATGAATGTCAATTACCTATTTCACTTGAAAGTATAATACTGATTAATATTTATATAAGAAACATTATAAAAAGGGATGTTGTAGACTTTTAGTGCTTTAAAGGGAAATTTTTCTGAGGAATAGCTTTATGATAAATTTCACATGGACACTGTTAGATTAAATTTTTAGATGCATCAAGAGTTGTGAAAATTTAAACAATAAATCAATCGAAAAACAAAAATAAGGCAGTAACTTAGATTAAGGTGAGACCATGCTTACTGAAGCCATACTTCTTATTCCAACCCTGCAAACCTGCAAAACAGCAAAACAAATATCACTTAATACCATAAACAAGTAATATTTAGCTTATCCTACAAAACCGACACCAAAAACTAGATTAAGCCTCGTGTAGACTTTCAAATGTATATGTGTATCAAAAATTAAGGTAAATTTCTTTAAGTGTTCATGCCAAGGGTATGCCATAGGAGGTTCCACAACTAGTCAGCTTCACAAAAAGCGTATGCCAAGGTAAATTAAGGCAAGTAGACTTGCAAGGTAATGAACGAAATACTTCCATTCTTTTTTCCGAAGCTCCACTTTCTGAACCTGAAACCGAATATCCGAATTTATAAATTGCAGAAATCTTAATTTCATCCAATCAATTTCTAAATGCTCTAAGTTATGGACAATACTGTCCTAGATAAACCAACCAATCAATTCCAGCATCGGATTTCGTCAGCAGCCAAACGGGCATAATTTCAAGCGAATCGATAAACAGTGAAAATTTGAAAGCGACACGACGGAGGTGATTCGTTTAAAGCTGCGGCCACGTCAAACAACGAGCGAAACAAAGAGGGCACTGATAAACGAGAGAGATGTAATATACCTTGGCTTCGTAGATACAAGGGCCGTAATAAGCGAGGACACGTTCGCCCTCAGAGAAGATGTTCGAACCGGAAGGAGGGATGTCGCGGCTTGAAGTATCGGCGTCGGCTGTCGTCTCCTCCTTCAACGAGCTTCCCATATTCTTGCCTGGTTTTTGCCGCATAATGAGAGGGAATTATAAAATAAATAAAAAATCCGTTTTAATTTTTTTATATTAAATTTATAGCGAATTCAACTTTTTATTTATTTATTTAGCTTACCCTATCCCCAAATATAATGAGATGAGATGAGGTAAAGTAGTTGGCTGGCATCCGGCGTCAGGTTGAGAGTAACTTCCGTGAAAGACATTCGACAGTCAGAATTATAAATTGTCCACCGTGAAGTTCGATCCCACGACCACAAGGTTAAGAATCTTGTGCTCTACCAACTGAGCTGAACGAATAATTATTTTTATTTATTTATTTGAATCAGATAAAATAATTAATAAAGAAAAATAATACATTTCGAGCCGTTCCCGAGTTGGGTCCAGCCGAGTTCAGCGGAGACGGTGTACTTCACTACTAGGCTTGTAATAAGATCAAATTATGTCATTGGTGCTTATGATATATAAAAAAAATTAAATTTAGTCTACATTCTTTTATTTAGTAAATTTTAAGCATGTAATTTTTTAATTTTAATTTAAATCAAATAATATACAGATAGCATAGTGTATAAAAAATTAAACGTCGAAGTGATTATTCTGTTAAACGTTAAGAATGGATTTTGACATCATTTTGTAGATTTTTTCACTAACCTCATAAATATACTATTCTTGTAGGATATTTTAAATTGCTTTAGATTTAAGTGTTCAATTATTTGATAATTTTATCTTACTATTCTATTATATATTAATTGATGAAAATGATTATTACACAAAGTAATAACTAATTTATCCATCTTTGACGAATAACCTATGATTACGTTTCATTTTCACAAATCATATAATATCATTAAAAAGGATACACTTTACTCTTCAATTAAGTTATGATTTATTTCTGTAAATGAAGATATATCTGTTGAAGTTAGGCACCGAAATGAGGAAAGTAAAAAAAGTTGTTTTTTTTTTATTTTTTTGGCTAATAGGTGACTTAATTTTTAAATGTAGGCACCGAAAATGGGGAAGTCAAAAGGGAGCTGATATTGTTGATTTTTTGGCAATGGTTAAATCACACATTTAGTCATTGCATTTTAGGGTATTTTCAAAGATTAGTCCCTAAGCTTCAACTATAAATACCCTAGCTCATTTAGCTTCAAAATTATCCCAAAATCTTCCAGTTCTCTCTCAAGTGTGTTTTGTAAACACTTGTAATTTTTTCTCTTTAGTAAAATATCTACAGCAGTCTGGAGACGTAAGCACAATTGGATGAACTCCGTTATCAATTTTTCGGGTATTATTTTTTCGCTTTTATTTCGTATTCTCACTAATCTGGCTATAGGGAAATACTTGTTACTCGTTTATTTCCCAACAACTGGTAATCAGAGCTTTTGGTTGTAAATTTTATCAATTTTTTGCGAGGTTACTATTTATTACTGTTCACGTGAATATTAAATTTCGTGAATAGTGAAATTTTGTTGGCGATACGAATTTGTCGACGGATGTGTTCTAATACACGGTGCTTCGCAAGAATTGTCAGAAACGATCCAAACGAATCCATATTCGAGTGGGAGCGATGGCTGCAGACGAAGGGAATGTGAAAATTGAAAAGTTCGATGGTGCGGACTTTGACTTTTGGAAGATGCAGATTGAAGATTTTTTGTACCAGAAAAATCTATATCAACCCCTCTCAGGAAAGCAACCAGAAGGCATGAAGAATGAAGACTGGGCTCTTCTCGACAGATAAGCCCTCGGAGTTATCCGACTGACGTTATCCCGCAATGTTGCTTTCAACATAGCAAAAGAAAAGACAACGACGGGTCTTATGGCGGCTCTCTCCAGTATGTATGAGAAGCCTTCAGCCTTAAACGAAATTCATTTGATGAGGTGATTATTCAATTTGCGGATGACGGAAGGGGCATCGGTGGCACAACACCTGAATGAACTCAACACAATCACAACCCAATTGAGTTCAGTGGAAATTGAATTCGATGATGAAGTTCAAGCTTTAATTCTCTTATCATCTCTACCAGACAGTTGGAATGCTACTGTTATAGCAGTTAGCAGCTTGTCGGGAAACAACAAATTAAAATTTGATGATGTTCGGGATCTGGTATTGAATGAAGAAATTCGACAAAGAGAATCGGGTGAAGCATCAACCTCCTCAGCCTTGCACACGAAGTCTAGAGGGAGAACTTTAGAAAGAAATTCAAATCGTGGCAGATCAAAATCCAGAAGGGGAAAATCAATAACAGGAAATAAAGATTTTACCTGTTATAACTGCGGCAATAAGGGTCACTTTAAAAGAGATTGCCGATCACTGAAGAAAAATACCGGCACACAGGATTTTGCCAACGTGACAGAGGAGACGGGTGATGCCATGATTCTAAGCGTCAACAGTCCGATTGAATCATGGATCTTGGATTCAGGGGCATCTTTCCACTCCACCCCATGCCAAGAAATCATGGAGAACTATGTCAGTGGTGATTTTGGGAAGGTTCATCTAGCTGATGATGAAACCTTGAAGATCGTCGGAAAATGAGACATCCGATTAAAGTTGCCAAACCAAACCACCTGGACGCTGAAAGGAGTGAGACATATTCCTGGCCTCAAAAGAAATTTGATTTCTGTAGGACAGCTTGATGATGAAGGATTTAGCACAACCTTTTCAGGCTGTGAATGGAAGATTACTAAAGGAGCACTCGTCATTGCTCGTGGTAAGAAAACAGGTACTCTCTATATAACCTCAAATTTAGAGAATATCATTCCAGTAGCATATGCTGATGGAAAATCAAACCTATGGCACCAAAGGCTTGGCCATATGAGCGAGAAAGGGATGAAGACACTTTTGTCAAAGGGGAAGTTACCGGATATAAAGAATGTAGATGTCAGACTATGCGAGGATTGCATCTTTGGCAAACAAAAGAAAGTCAACTTTGCAAAGAATGGTAAGACACCCAAGGCTGAAAAGTTAGAGTTGGTTCATACTGATGTATGGGGACCATCTCCAGTTCCATCTCTTGCAGGCTCATTATATTATGTCACCTTCATCGATGATTCTACAAGGAAGGTGTGGGTTTATTTTCTGAAGAAGAAATCAGAAGTCTTTGATACCTTCAGAAAATGGAAGGCCATGGTGGAAAATGAGATTGGTTTGAAAGTCAAGAGGTTGAGGTCTAACAATGGAAGAGAGTACAAAAATAGAAGATTCAGAGATTTCTGAGCAAACAATGGGATCAAGATGGAGACAACAATTCCCATGACACCACAACATAATGGCGTAGCAGAGCGCATGAACAGAACTCTGAATGAACGTTCCAGAAGCATGAGGATACATGCCGGATTGCCCAAATTTCTATGGGCTGAAGCTATCAACACTGCAGCTTACTTGATCAACCGTGGGCCCTCAGTTCCTTTGGATGACAGAATACCAGAGAAAGTTTGGAGCAAGAAAGAAATAAACCTTTCACACTTAAGAGTGTTTGGTTGTATTTCTTATGTACACATAGACTCTACTGAAAGAAGTAAACTTGATGCTAAGTCCAACAAATGTGCCTTTGTTGGTTATGGCGGTGATGAGTTCGGTTACTGATTTTGGGACTACGAAAATCGGAAGATCATCAGAAGCAGAGATGTCATTTTCAATGAGAATGTGATGTACAAAGACAGGTCAACCATAGAATCAAATAGCTCCAATACCGAAGCTGAAACAAAGGAATTTGCTGAGTTCGAGGAGATTTCTGGAAATAATGTTCAGATAAGTCCTGAAGCTGTTCAAGAAGAACCAGTCACACCAGAACTGAGACACTCCTCCAGAATTCCTAAACCAACCCAACGGTATTCTCCTTCTTTGCACTACTTGTTGCTGACTGACAATGGTGAACCAGAGTGCTATGATGAAGCAATGCAAGTGGAGGATTCAGTCAAGTGGGAGTCTTCCATGAAAGATGAGATGGACTCGCTTATGTCAAATCAGACGTGGGAATTAGCTGAATTACCACCAGGAAAGAAAGCTATCCACAACAAGTGGATTTACATGATCAAAGAAGAGCACGATGGGAGCAAACGCTACAAAGCAAGATTGGTTGTTAAAGGCTTTCAGCAAAAAGAAGGTATTGACTATAATGAAATTTTCTCTCTAGTCGTAAAACTGTCTACAATCGGACTGGTGTTAAAAATTGTAGCTGCAAAAAATTTACATCTTGAGCAGTTAGATGTAAAGACAGCTTTCCTTCATGGTGATTTGGAGGAAGAAATCTATATGAGGCAGCTAGAAGGCTTCATAGAGGCAGGCAAGAAAAACTTGGTATGCAGGTTGAAGAAGAGCTTGTATGGTTTAAAACAAGCTCCTAGACAGTGGTACAAGAAGTTTGATAGTTTCATGAGTAGCAGTGGTTTTACCAGATGCCAAGCAGATCATTGTTGCTACATCAAGAGGTTCGACAACAGTTTTATTATTTTATTGTTGTACGTTGATGACATGCTCGTTGCAGGCTCAGACATGTAAGAGATTATACACTTAAAGCAAAAATTGTCGAAGTAGTTTGCTATGAAGGATCTGGGCACTACAAATCAGATTCTTGGGATGAGGATCAAGAGAGACACAAAGTCGGGGACTTTGATGTTATCACAGGCTGAGTACATCAACAAAGTACTCTCCAGGTTCAACATGCAAGATGCTAAACCAGTAAGTACACCTTTAGGTTTTCATTTCAGACTCTCCAAAGAACAGTCACCAAAGATGGAGGAGGAACGTGCACACATGGTGAAGGTGTTGTATGCCTCAGCAATTGGAAGTCTGATGTATGCCATGGTTTGTACCAGACCAGATATTGCTCAAGCAGTGGGAGCTGTTAGCAGGTACATGAATAATCCGGGAAAGGTACACTGGAAGCAGTCAAATGGATCCTCAGATATCTGCGGGGTACCACAAACAAAGCACTTTGTTTCAAAGGTGGAGATACAATACTGACTGGCTATGTAGATGTTGACTTAGCCAGAAATATCGACATCAGAAGGAGCACTACAGGGTATGTCTATACTCTAGGAGGTACTGCAGTGAGTTGGGTTTCTCAACTACAGAAGATAGTTGCTCTCTCCACAACTGAAGCAGAATATGTCGCTGTTACAGAAGCCAGCAAGGAGATGGTTTGGCTCCAAAGTTTCTTGGAAGAGTTAGGCAAGAAACAAGAAAACAATGTCTTGTATTGCGACAGTCAAAGTGCTATCCATCTAGCAAAGAATTCGTCTTTTCATTCCAGGACGAAGCATATACAATTGATATATCATTTTATTCGGTCTCTTCTGGAAGATGGGATTTTGAAACATGAAAAGATTAGTGGAGCTCAAAATCCGGCAGACATGTTGACAAAGACGGTGACCACGAAAAAACTGAAGTTGTGTTCAACTTCAGTTGGCATGCTAGAATAACAAGACTAGAAAAGCTGTTGTATTGATCGAGGTGTGAAAACATATTAAAATCAGTCTTCAAGTGGGAGATTGTTGAAGTTAGGCACCGAAATGGGGGAAAGTTAAAAAAGGGATTGTTCTTTTTTGATTTTTTTGGCTAATGGGTGGCTTAATTTTCAATTGTAGGCACCGAAAATAGGGAAGTCAAAAGGGAGCTGATATTGTTGATTTTTTGGCAATGGTTAAATCAAACATTTAGTCATTGCACTTTAGGGTATTTTTAAAGATTAGTCCCTAAACTTCAACCATAAATACCTTAAGCTCATTTAGCTTCAAAATTAGCCCAAAATCTTTCAGTTCTCTCTCAAGTGTGTTTTGTAAACACCTGTAATTTTTTCTCTTTAGTAAAAGATCTGCAGCAGTCCGGAGACGTAAGCACAATTGGCTGAACTCCGTTATCAATTTTTCGAGTATTATTTTTTTCATTTTATTTCGTATTCTCACTAATCTGGTTATAGGAAAATTACTTGTTACTCGTTTATTTCCCAACAATATCATATATGAGTTATATATCCAACGTATAAACCATCAAATTCCTACCTTGAGATACATTGGTTCTTGATATATCAAGACATAAAGTCCCGCACATCGTTCTACATTGGTTCTTGATATAAACCGCTAGATTTCTACCGTGAGATATATTGGTTCCAATCGAATTTTTCTGACTCCACGGCTATATATACGTATTTATGAATTTCATTCACTGGGAAAACGTATTAACAAAGAATTTCTTACTTGAACAACGGAAGAGATGGAGACAATTCTGGGATAAGCAAGGAAGTTTGTATTATTTATTTTAATTTATCAAAGATTGAAATAACAGAATAATAACGAACTTAAAAAATTAATTTACAATACAAAATAAATCTTCGTCGCTAAAAGTATACCACTAACTGTAAGCTAAAGTACTCTATAATCTGTTCCTCGCACCATAAACATTGTTATCTCCTAGTGTTCGACTCTCAATGAAAAGGCTTCTTCGAGCCCGAACCATGGCTCACACCAGAGTCCTCAGTTTCCCACACCAGGGCTCGGACCAGAATCCTTAATGGCTCCATGAGTTCGACTATCAGTGAACTTGTTTCCCACACCAGGGCTGGGACCAGAATCCTTAATGCCGCCAAGGGTCGAGCTATGTCCCTCAACAGGGCTGGAGTTCTTAATGCCACCCAAGGTTTGACTATCTGTGAACATGTGTCCCCCACCAGGGCTTGGACCCGAGTTCTTAATGCCTCCGAGGGTCCGACCATCAACGAACCCATGTCCCTCACCAGGTCCACTTGGACCCGACCCTTTGATCGCACCCAGATATAATCCAATATCGAAGAAATCGGGGACCTTTCGACCTGCAAAGTTCTTAGACATCAAGGCATTGAAAGGATCCCGAGCTTCAGCGACACTTACAATGAAACTCGACGCTAAAACAAAAGCAGAAACGATTAAAAAAGATTTGACTGCGTTCATCGTATCAGGAAAAAAAATGAAATTTTATGCTGCATGGAAATGAGAATCTGAGGCTACTCTTTTATAGTGAGGGGAGATTTTGACTAAGTTTGGATTGCTTGGGAAATACTTCAATTAATCGGTTAAAATTCAAAGGAAAACGTGGTGAAAATTGTGTTCTTCGTGGAGGGGAAGTTTCTGGGAATGTGATGCATAGTGGAAAACTGGAAATAGAAAAATGGCTATGGAGATTGCGAGTCCAACATGCAAAGTTGAATCGTAGAAAATAGAAGAAGAAAAAGAGAGGAAACGAGAGCCATACAGTGTTTGATTATTTGAATTTCCATGGCCGCCTGACGACCTCACCAGTCGTTCCCATTAGCAGCCCCTCCATTTGCTCAAAATATTCAACAAAACCCCAAAATTATTTCTACCGGTGAACTTTGCTTTGATTTTATTAAGCGTTGTTTGTTTGTTTCATGGAAAATGATTTCTTCATTTTCCGGTGTTTAATTCAATGAAAATAGGTTGTTTAATATAAAACATTTTCCTAGTTATAGAATTCTCTTCGTATTTAAAAAAATGATTTTTTATAAGTTATTGTTCGAATTTTTCACTTCAAAATATAAATATTCAAAATATTATTTTATGTATTTAATGTTGATATAATATTTTAATATCATTTTAATAAAAATATTAATTATTAAAATATTAAATATATTAATTAATATTTTTAATATTACAATAATATACTCAATTATATTATAATAATTCATTTACACAATATCAATATCTTTCCAACACCGTAATTTTTTTTCTAAAACACATAATTCATTTAAAAAAATATTTTTTGAAAAATATTTTTAATGAGTTAAACAGATATTAAATTCATTTAAAAATTATTAATTTATTAAACTCTTAGCGTCCGGTCGGTTCAGTTGTCTTGAACAAATCCATTTTATTTTGATTTTATTTTTTTTAAAGACGAAAAATGATGTGCATCGACAATAACTATTTGTGAAATATTTAATTTAAGTCAAACCTTTTACTGCTCCTGCTTTGGGGACCATAGACAAAAGAAATGTTTGAAATTCCAAGGCCTTGACGAAGTGCAGCAATGCGTGGTGACTCACCACGCTCTATGCCCAAATAAAAGGCTGGACTGCTTTCCCTTCTTGTTCTGACAAAGATTCAAATACCGACACTACTAGAGCGGATTGGACAAGAAATTTTGAATATGTGATTTATTTTATAAAAGTTTTTCAAAATGACTTTTTAATATATTTCCTGACCACCTGTAAAAATAGGGGAATAATAATATAACTACTCTCCGTGTTTGTACAAATAACTACTTTGTTCTTTATCTTTCTTTTGGAGCATGTTATCCCCTTTACTTTGGTATAAAATGTTTTTTATTGGATTAAAATCATTAATTGATTAAAGATCAATATTTTTATTTACGTGGTAAATCCACATGTTCATGTAGACATCATTGTTAGCATCATAGACTGTCATGTCAATATCGTAATGATCAATGTTTGATTCTTTTGGTCAAAGGGCCAAGTTAAATTTTTTTCTCAATTTAAGGGACATATAGAGTAAAAATTTTTCAAGGGTCGCATTGATTTTTCTGGAAAAAAATGAGGGTTTCAGATACCAACAAGCCTTTAATTTTAAAGGAAATCAAAAGGGTTCTAGGTTAAATTTATTTAGTTTGGGGCATTATCTGATAAAATTAACACCTGATTAACGTCCAATATGTAAAAAAAAAAGATTGAACTAAAAAATTTGGGGTACAACAACATTGGCTACGACAGTCGATGATGACCAATGACGATTGTGTTGAGTGGTGGTCAATGGTGATATATTTTGGTCAAATTCAGGTATCAAATTGATATTTTATATAAAGTTTAGGGTCAAAATGATAATTCATCTGAAACTTATAAGTTAAATTAAAAATTAATCTCTTTTACCAACGTGACATATCATTAAACTAACATGAATTAATGATGCACGGACCAAACAACATCAGTGATTAAAGGACTTATTGTTATCTTTTGAGGTCTCGAATTCGAGCACCGCATATGCAAGTGTTTAAGCATTCATTGTCAAATGGTTAAAAGTCTTTAAACATATAATATTTTGTATCAACCCCATATTTATAAAAAAATTAATTAACTGCTCAGTACCAAAATATAATAACTTTAAATAAATTAATAACATAACTGACCGAAATGTAAGTTTTCAAAATTGGAGATTAAAAGTATATAAAACTAAAACTGAAGTAGTCATTCCGATAGTTTAACCAAATATTAAATTAAAACGAACCTTAATCTTTATTTGGATTGTGATTTTCTTAATGATGCAACTCTCTTGATTCCACCTCAGATTCTTCCATCGCTAACCATTCGTCGGACTTCGCACTCAATGAGTTCTAAAATAAATGTAATCAAATTTAGGGATGGGAAGTTGGGCAATGCTAAGGTGAATTCGATCCGAAAAATATATATCTTTTATTTAATCTGATCAGATTCAAAAAATATATACACTTTATACAACTTGAATTCGATCCGAATTTTATCTCAAATTCAAACCGAATATAACCTGAAATAATATATTTATTAAAAAATATCATTTTATTCTATAAAAATATAAATTTAATTGAAAAAATAATATATAAAGAGATATTATTGTAATTATTCTAAATATATAAGATAAAATTGTATTTTTCGGTTGTGTATTTTTAACTCTAAACCCGTATTGACCCGAACATAATATCTAAAAAACAACTCTATTTGATTTGAACCTAAATTTTTTAATAGAACTCTGATTGGATCGGATCGAAATACGTCGAGTTGGAATTCGTGCCCATTCCCAATCAAATTAGTTCTTGCCTATACAAATATGAACCCGAAAAGGATCCAATTGCCCCATCTAATAAAATCAACGATTACTTAAAAAAATTAAAAACATTATACCTTTATTTAAGTAGAAACGAAATTGTTAAATCCCATATTGGGTTCGATTGAGTCAAAGGCTGTATCTCTTATTTAAGTATATTTAAATGTTAGACGAATATTTGATCGTTTAAAAGTATTTCTTTTATGGGAGTAACTTTAAAAGTAAGACCAATATGTTTTTCATATATATATATATATATATATATATACATAATTTAGAAAAGTAATTGTTACTATTTATATTATTTGTCGTTTATTTATAATTAAGAACTTAAAATAGTTGGTATTCAACTTAAGATTATTTATAGTAAAAAAACCATAAACGCACTCTCTCTCTCTATTTTTTTTTTTACAATTTGTATCAATTTCTATAGATTAAATCAATTTTTTCTTCTTTGATTTTGTTTTTGTCAGTAATGATATCGGTTTTAATATTGGTTACCGACCGTCGGTCATCTTTTTCTTTGTTTTTTTAATTTTTTAATGAGAATAATTATGTCGTTGATGACATGTTTATCTCTGTCTTTTTGGTACGTTTATCTCTATCTTTGTGGTATTTATCTCTACTTTTCTGTTATTTTTATCATAGTTGGATTTGATATCGCTACGACTGATCAATATGTCGCTTATTTGTTATCATGCCGATTTTCCCTGCCTTGGACCCTCGAATTGATTTGAATACGCGTTTTGCACTCGTGAATAGCTTTCTTACGTCGTTTGACTATGATTTACGATTTATCAGTGATATTTTAGTAATTGCATCCCCTTTTGTGATTTAGTTACCAATACAATTAGATTTGAGCATTGGTTATGTTTTTAAACTTTTCCTTTATGATCATTGTGTGATTTAAGTGACTAATTTTTGTATCAATAATTATAGAAAAATATTTTAATCATAATTTAATTTACACTTACAATTATACTTATAAATATTTATTGTAATTTATGTATTTTATTTTTAATAAAATTAACGATTTTTTTATAAAAAAAAACTTAAAACATATTTGATAGGACAAGCCCGATGCCCAGTATTCCTGCATCGCAAATATTCATTATTTTTGAATCTCAAAAAGCTTCTTCATCATCAAAGCTGGTTTGTTTACACCCCCAATGTGGGAAAAAAGCTAACCTTTTTTTTATTTATGATTTCTTTATAATTTGATTTGAAACAGAAATAATTATCACAATTCTTTGTCTTGTTTTGTGCAAAGCAACCAATTGAAAAATACAATTTCAGACAACCCCCTCGCCTTCATTGCCCTGTTTTCTTGATCACTTTATTTTAATAAATTAACAATTTTTTTAAAAAAAATCAATTAAATTTTCGTTTTTTATCAATTAATTTTTTTATTTTTTAAGACTAGCTCTGGGTTTGTTTAAATCGACAAAACTAAATCAATAACTAATTGGTCTAGTGAGATGAGAAATTAAATCTTTTAAGTAATATTAGAGGTTCAAATCATGATAATTGTAAATAAAGTAACTTGGATTGAAAAGATCGTTCTTACTTCTATATATAATTCGAATTATTTAATTAATAAATCGAATACCAATTTTTATTAAGAAAACCAACAAAACTCGAGGAAGGAGGATGGGAACTACAAATGATAAAAAGATATGGATCATGGAATGCCAATTGTCAGTTTTTATATTCAATAAATAGACCCCCCCACCCAAAAAAAATGCACGTTTATAAAACATTTCATATATGCAATATTATGCACGATGCAAGGTGTGGTCCATAATTTGCCAAGTCTTGCAAAAGCGATCGAAAATTGTGACATAATTCTTTATCTTATTGAACTAATCAGTTCAATTACTTGAATTCATCAAATGACTTTATAATTAACGAGAGTATAATCTTTATTAAAAGTCTTGAATTTAGACAATTAAATTTGTGATTGTGTGTGCATCTTTATAGTTAAAAAATATTCTAAATAAATATTATTTTTTTAATGACGTTGACTTTTTGTAATCCAAGTTCAATGTCTGCCATGGGTTTTTATTCTTAAGACTGTGATTCCTTGTAGAAAAAGAGCAATGACTGTACCCTAATTCTGTGATAACAAAAGAAAGCTTGGCCATACATTGTGGGTTGAAGATAGGATTCTAAGCTTCTTTTGTTAAATGGAAGGAGTTTTCTTTTCATTATCAAATGGGCTGAAAGAAGTAGGCATTAGTGCTGTCTTTTATGTTACACAATCCGACAATTACGTATACAAATCCAGACAACGATTAATCCAGACACTTTAGTTTTGCGTTAATTCATCCAACAGGAGAAAATCATGTAGTTTGATGTGTTAAAAAAAAAAAAAGGCAAAACAGATAAGCATCAAAATACTTGACCATTTGCCCATGATATATATATATCATGATGTTCGGACTGGAATTCTAACTACATCTGTTCTTCCTATTTAACTACACCCCTCTCTATCGGAGTTTAGAATTTTTGAGTGCCATGGCCTCACCGAGGGACGACGACCCCAACGGGTCGAAAACCGGAGACGATAACTTGGGGGATTTGTTAAGTTTAGGCCTCAGCACAGAGGCAAAGGCTGCTGCAATCAACAAGGTTTTCTCATGCAACTTCTGCATGAGAAAGTTTTATAGTTCTCAAGCATTGGGTGGACACCAGAACGCACACAAGAGGGAACGAGGGGCTGCCAAAAGGTTCGGGTCTAACAAAATCGTTCCGCCTTTGATGGCGGTTCGATCGCTAGGGGTCCGACCTCATTCGCTGGTTCACAAGGGTGTAAGATCAGAAGGGTCGTCGGTGGTGGCAAGGTTTAGTGAATCCGGGCCTATTTTTGGGGTTGCTGGGACACCGTTCTCGGTTGAAGATTCGATGGATATGATCTGGCCCGGAAGCTTCCGACTCGAGAATTTTCCGATGCAAGGACCTGAACCTGCCACTGATCCGCGCAAGGTTGATTTAAATCTGAGGTTGTAGGTGTTTTAATTGTTATCCAACTGTTGTCTAATTAATTTATATGAAGGCTTTGTTTCTGTTTAGTCTATGTTTCATCTTCCGTATAATAATCACCATGAACTGAACCTATTAAATAGTCGTGTTGTTCTTTTTAGAGGTCTCGAATTCGAGTAATTACGTCTATAAGGTATGCGTCTATAGTTAATTAATTAAAAAATTCTGAACATATATTATCTTATAATTTATCTAGACTAATAAATGAAACCACCATGAACTGCCTGTTTTTGCTTCTGCAATTCTATTGATTGTTATAACATCCAACATATATTTTCATTATGAGAAATCTTTATCAATTGTGAATACACAAAGCTAGTTAAGCTACTAATCGAGTATTAATTAAGCCGAATCCAAATTATAACATTGTGCCCAAAGTTAATCGGTAAAAAAATTGGCTGATTAGTCAATCTAAAATTAATTTGAGACCTACAACATTTACTACAGTGACTTGAAACTCGTCACATAAGTATGATGAATTTCAATAAAATATTTTTTTTATTGAAACTTGTTACTCTGACATGATAAATTCTAATAAAAAATTATATTTTTTTTAGTACTTGTCACTTCAACATAACGAGTTTAAATAAAAAGAAAATTATTTAGGTAAACTTTCATGTGGACATGACGAGTTTTCCCTATATTGTATCATTTGTCGTAGGATCCAAATTAATTTTGTAAACACGTCAATCAGTGACAGAATGGGCTCTGAACCCAAAAGTGTTGAACAAACAAAAGCTTCTTCTTGTTGGTTCCTTAAAAGAAAAACAGAAAATAGTCCGAGAAAATGATGGAAACCCATGCCTGGGAGTTTTGGATTGAGCCCAATTTTATTAAACAAATGGACCAAAACCCAGAGAATTTTCTTTCCAGTGTTCCACAAAATCCGGGGGCGGGATTTTATGTTTGTTTATTTAAGAATTTGCAATTGGTTCTCATTGCATACCGGTGACTTTGGGCATCTATGGCCGGTATTGAGCAACACAAGGCAAGTGATTCTGCTTCATCTCTGATAGATCAGCTTTATAAGGCGGTTCATGAATTTGAAGCTTTCAAGGGTGCTTCTGAGAACAAGGTGCATTGGACAGAAGTCGAACAATCTCCCGGCGTCGTTAAAGAAGAAATCCGAAGAGCTAGAAGCTAAGGAGAAGGAATACGTGGTGAAGGATGCTGTAACTCTTGCATTGATTGTAGAGGAGGAGGCAATTGTTGCTGCTAAGGAACAAGATTACTTAGACCGTGTCCAGGAGCTGAAAGATGCAGCTGTTGCTATCATTGCCGAGGCACGTGCAAATATCCAGTCAACGGTTGCAGATTCTCTTGATGCTGGGGAAAACAAAGACACCAAGGTAAGCAGTTCTGTTGGTGATAAAAACTCCCCTGATGAGGACTTTCCTTGTAAAACAAGTGAAAATACTGAAAACATGGCTGCCAATGTTAAGCCACGTCCAGAGCTGACAAACTTTTGTGAGCAAATGGATGCAAAAGGACCTCAGAATTTCGTAACAGAGAATCTGAAATTTCTTAATGACATTTGTCGGGAACTTCCCCTTGCACTTGAAAGTGCAAGCGAACCAGCCCTTTTGGTGCTGAATTCACTGGAGGGGTTTTACCCTCCGGATGAAACAACTCAAATGGTGGATAAGACGGATGCCTCCCTTCAGGGCATGCGCAAGTCCCGTGTCGTCTTATTAGAAGCCATGGCTAGTTTTTTGGCCAAATTTGACCACAATGATACTCTCCTTTTGAACCCTGAAATCAAGCTGCTAGCCAAGGTAATTTCTGATGAGTGGAAACCTAAGTTGTCTAATGCAGGCAGTGGTGCTGCCATTGACAATTCATTGGAAGCTGAAGCATTTTTGCAGCTCCTTGCTACTTTTAAGATCGCTTCGGAGTTTGAGAAAGAACGACTCTGCAAGCTTGTTTTTGTAGTTGCTCACAGCCGGCAGGCACCTGAGCTTTGTCGTTCCCTTGGATTAACACCGAAAATGCCAGGTCGGTATGGAGGTAGGATCATTGTTTCCATATGATGAATCTCGAGTCAGCACTAATGTATTTGTGTCTTGCGGATGGCTATACCACTGTTTGATGTTAATTTGCTAAACCAAGTCTTACTATGGCAGGTCTTGTTGAGTTATTGATTAACAGCGGGAGACAAGTCTATGCAGTACAATTTATTCATTCATTCCAGCTTACCGAAAGGTTTCCTCCTGTGCCCCTCTTGAAGATGTTCTTGAAAGATTTGCGGAGAAACTCACAAGGGAAGGGGGGCTCTCGTGGTGCTGATGGTTCACAGGTAATGTATGCTTATACCGACGATCCGTTACTATGATTTATCTATATACTAAAATACCAACCGGTGATTTCTTCTTCATATACAGGATGACATAAATGCACGAGAACTTGCTGCCTTGAAAGCCATCATAAGATGTGCTCAAGACTATGGCCTAGAAGCAGATTACTCCCTAGATCCACTCCAGAAAAGGTTGGCTCAACTCGAGAAAGCAAAAGCAGACTCTAAGAAAAGAGGGGGAGATTCTGGTAAACACCACCCGCGGAAGAAATCGAGACCCAACAGTGGTTTTCGAGGATTTCGGGGACCTCCAGGTAGGCAAGCTCCTCCGGTTTACAACCAAAGGACTGCCTTTCAGGTATGCCTGAAAGGTATACTCATGCTGGTCCCAACCCCTACAGCTATCAAGTCCCGAACCAACCGGCCTATGCCCCTCAAGCCAATGATCAAAGATTATATTACTATACTCAAGATGACAAAATTCCGACGCCGTCACACAATGCAGCTACATCTAACTATGGAAGCTACAGTGGTGGCGGATTGCAACCATCACAGCAGTCATTTATGTAGTTTTTTTTTGTTAATATTAAAGTTCACCATAGATGCATGATCAGTTCAAAGAATTTTTATCCCCGATGTGGTTCTAACTGATTACATACCCATCCTTTTTTTCCCCGTTTAAATCTTAAATTAACAGATTTTTATTAGTTTCTAATATACTCATAAATGCAATTTTGTACGAAACATACTACACACTAAATATAAGCACGAGTGAGGCAAGCAAAAGCGTAAACAAACGTAGACTGACCTCAGCTTCATCTCAAGATGTTTACCCAGTAATGCTGAGTTTATAACACTACACAATCATTCAAAAGATTGTTAAAGTTAATTTAAAAAAGTGTAGTTAATTAATGTATTTAAAGATATCGAGAACGGCAGCATGAAAATCGTCCAAGTCTTTGATTTCGGAATCGGTGAAGTGTTCATGGAGTGATTTGAACACATGACTTAACATCTGTGTAGAACAAATAACATACCTTTTGCCATGAAATTACCCATGTTGATGTTTTTCTTTATCAAACCATTACCTTACCTGCATGTAATAATTAAAGGATAAATCTTTTAGGCCACAACCCTAACCCTACCTCTTTATTCCTTTTACAATTCTTACGCCAACAGGTTTAGACCAGCAATTCAAAGTTGCTTTTATTAATTAGTAAACTTGATTCAGAATTTAAATAAATTTTGATTATGATTGTTATTTTCAACTGTAATAAATCTCTCTTAAAAGGTGTCTTTTAAATTATTTATTGTCGACTGTAATAACCGGGTAGAAAAGAGAGAGTAACAAAAATGATAAATATATATAGTTTACTTATTCATTACCATTTATTTATATGCCTGTTTATTTATATTGTTTTCGCTATTTTTCATCATGTAATATATTTTGCTTTTTAGCCTATAGCTTTACTTGCTATATTTTTTAGGAATATTTTCATTGATATTTTATTTTAGATTGAAGAGATTAATTCACATTGCCTTTTTTGGATCCATTTGATGATTTTTTAGGATGTACTTAAAAAATCGAGTCCCACGGTGAGCAATTCATAATTCTGACTGCCAGAGATCTTCTACGGAAGCTGCTCTCAACCTGACGTTGAGGGCAACCTACTACCTTACCTCCCCTCATCTCATTACATATGGAAATAGGGTCAACTACTTTTTAAAGAATCGATTTGAGTGTTTAATGATGGTTGGGTTAATACCTATAACAAATCACAACAACAAAAAATTACTTTTAAATCATTTATTTTAAGTGATTAATTTTATACTAGCACATGCTTAGTTTAATATCCGTCTGTGATCCTAAACGGTTAATATAAATTAATTTTAGTAATTAATAAAATACATTATTATAACTTTAAAAGTGAAATAAACAATGACATGAACAAACTTCATAGTCTTTTGCATATGACCAACAGTGGGGGGGGGGCACTCTATACTACTCTCAAACAAAAGCTGTTAAGGGCGAGTACTAAAAATGATGGTAAATATTTCATACAGGACCCTTTCAACTTCCCCCAATCTGAGGATGGCAGCCATATAACAATTTAAACACAATAAATGTATCCAAATGAGTCTGGATTGATTGGTTCACGAAGGAACCCAGAGTGTACCCGTTTACTGAGTGCGCATCCTGCTACACTCGGCTGCCCTCACTTGGGAGAAGTAAGGATGGACCTGCAGCATGAAAATAAATTGTATCACATGCCAAGCAATGGGAGTTCATTACTACGTTACTCGAACTCAGCTGTACGAATTGAACACCGGAATGATTGGATTTTTTAAAGCCTTTTCATGTATTTGGAGAATCCTTGAAAATCATATACCCGAACCCATTACTCAGACAAGTGTTAGCACATATAGACCTACCGTGGCTTCTTTTGCAGTTAGCCTGTCCTGATGGTCGTACCGAAGCAACTTATCAAGAAAATCGATAGCCTGAAAGCCAAAGAGCTCAAAGAATGAAAGTTACTATTAACGTTTAGTTTACTGTAACTGAACTTACAGTATTCAACTTCCTAATAGTATGCCTCAAGAAGAAAAATAACCTCTGGAGAAACAAGATGTTGATTATCTGCATTAATAAATTTGGACCAAGGTTTGCGGCTGTGCCTGAAAAACAATATACCAAAAACATTAATGGAGAAAAAATTGCACTGCACACTATTAACATGTCTACTCATCCATGTGTGAAACTGCAGCACCATAGGGTCCACAGCCATGACTTAATGCTAACCAGAGTTTTTGTTCATGATAAGTACGAAATCATGCATTATGTTGCATCGACTCTTCAATTTTTGTCAAAAACCCATATCAAGCATGTGTCCGGATATAGGTATGGGGATATGAGTTATGACCCTCCAAATATATATATAAAAACCTAGAAACAATTAAGCATACCCATGCCAGACACATACACGTATCAGACACTCATCCTGGAGATCGAGTAACATTGAATCAGCATATTGGATATATTAATTCTTAATATACCTTCCAACAAGAGCATCAAGTTGAGGATCCAGCTCTAAATGGTATTTGTTCAGATATGCATTTAACTCGTCAGTTCCTAGCGCCTGAAGTTACATTAATGACAGTCGAAAGCTTAGTAGCATCAGCATAAACTGGCAAAACTTTGTAAAGGAAGCCGAAAAAAAGAAATATAGAACTTATTGTTTGATAGTGCATGTAAAGTACACCCCCTTATCCCCTATCAAGTAATGACTATGAAGAAGGAATAAATAATTAAATCGAAACCTGCATGGATAATGCTGCATCTACAAACAATAGCAAATAAACAGCACTAGCAGGTGCCTGAAAAGGTTGTGAAGATGTAGATCACAAAAGCAAGATGAATAATATAAGTTGGACGAGGAACAATACAAATATCTAGACTAATACGTTACTAGTAGGAGTAAAAAAACATGCATTATACCAGCTGGAAAGTCAATTTAACAAGACAAATGATTAGGAAAATAAATATTCAGCAACAACATTTTAACATCTGCCAATCTGCAGAAGCATATTACCTTGGTAATTTTAACTAGTTGATCCTGGTTGTCATGGCCGTAGAAGAATGGTTCCTTCCGGAATATCTACTCAATCAAACATCATAACTACTATATTAGGCACGAAATATTGAAGTTTCAAGTCAAAGCTTAATGCATTTAAACTAGAAAAAGAATATTTCTCACCATTCCTGCGAACATACAACCAAGGCTCCATAGGTCCAAGGAATAATCATAGTCCTGCAAATCTACCAGAAGCTCAGGCCCCTTAAAGTACCTGAGAAGTAAGGAGGGCAATTAAACTTCTCAGAATTGAATCTATATTGTATCTGACAAAGTAAACTGAAGGAAAACACTTGGAAATGTATTAAGATTCCAAAAATACAAATCTGTTTAGTTCTGTTTTTCTTAAAAGATTATAGGTCTTTCCTTCTTTTAAAAGGTTCTTGTATCCAAGAATAGCATAATCTAAAGGACTTGAAATCTGGAGCTTCTTCTCATCCTCAAATGGTTGAAAGTAATAGCACTTGTCTATATAAAAGATAATAACAACAATAAAGGCAGAAGTACTATTCAAGCATCCAGCTAGTTCTTTAAAAATAAATAAATGTGGTTCAATCTAATTTCCCACAGATTGTCTTGGTTAATGAGTTTTGTACTAAATTTTGCATATCTATGAATCAGATAGGGAAGCCACTTCAAGGTACAGCCTTATAACACAGCAAGCATACATAAAATTAATCAAAAAATAATTTTCTTAAATTTTTTAGAAAAGGACAAATATCTAATGCTAGTCTGTTTCAATGTCTCCATTAAAATAAGCAATCTTGAAAAATAAAAAGGTATACGACTGGGAAAGTTGGTCATATGATTCATGATGTCTAATGTCTTCAAAGCATTACCTGGAAGCCACACGGACATTATACTCTTTCTCAGGATGGTAAAACTCCGCAAGTCCCCAATCTATCAAGCGAAGTTTGCGCAACTCATGATCTATCATGACATTGTGAGGCTTTACATCTCTATGCATTATTCCTTGCGAATGGCAGTAATCTAAAGCCTACAAAGCAAAGAAATATCTCCTTATCATTCTTTAATGCAAACATGCATGTCAGGAACCCTCCAACAAGCAATCACTAAATAATATCATGACGGAGCAAAGTTTAATACATTGAAAGTTAGAATGAGGAACATAATGTTACCTTGAGAAGTTTATATATAGTAGCGAATGTCATAGTCTGTCAAAGTTGGGTAGAGAACTTTGAAATCTGTACTGTTGACATACTCAAATATCAAGCTTGGTGTTTTTGAGTGCGGATCTCTCACGATATCAAGAAGTTTAACAATATTTGGGCCACCACATAGATTCTGAAGGATTTTAATCTCTCTCTTTATCTGCCAATAATAACAAGAATAATAAATAAAGCTTATTTCTATAATCTATAGCCAATGATTCTCCGACAAAATCCCATGTTTGACATATATTTGGGCAAAGGTACATGGATTATTACACTCCAAGTACATAGAATTTTATTTTTTAAAAGAAAACCGAACACACTCATGTAAAACACATGCTCGTATCCAACATTCACATCCAAATCCAAGTAAAATAGTCTAACTGTTATTTTCTGATATAAATTTACTCGAACCCCGATCAATTTGACAGATAACAGAAGTACTAACCTTCTTTTTCTTGACAGGCTTGAGGATTTTGATTATACAACGCTCATTGTTGTTGACATTTATGCCCTCAAAAACCTCACTGTATTTTCCCCTTCCAACTTTTCGAACAACCTCATAATCATCTTGATCACTAAAAGAGAAACACGAAAAAGATGAAGAAAAAAAGGAATTTACACCAATCCTGAACGAACCAAAGAACTAGAAGATTCGGATTATATGTAAAATGTTACACAAATTCTCAAAGGAAACGCTGTTAGTAAGATTCAAATATCTCATTAAGTTAACTCCACAAATCCCGAATTGGCATTACTCGACGAAACCTAATGTAACTTTCGACTAAGACAATCAAATGGAAAATCCAATAATCAAGGACCAAGGAACTTTTCCAGGAATTGATTTAAAAATTACCCCCATTGAACAGTGAGGGACTCGTAATCCCAGTACTCCTTGGGACGAAGAACGTTGACGTCAGTATAAACGCGAGATTTGGACATGACTCGTCGGCGAATCGGACAGGAGAACTCGTCGATCTTAGGGTTATCGCCACCGGGGTGGGCGAAGGGAAGGCGGGAGGCGACGATGGCGCAAACTAGCAATAGGCAAAATAAAAGTGGAAGGTTGGCGCGTCGCGCATTCAAGCCAATTAAGCTTAGCCCATTTATATTCATTCGGGTCTACAATCCGACTTATCAACAAATCTAATTTGTTTTATTTAACAGTCTCCTTAAATACTTGAAAATGACTAAAGATACATATTATAATGGAGGTCAAAAGGATACACTGATGCTAACTTCTAAATCGAAAAGGATAATTAACTATTGTAATTAACGAATGAAATGATGGATTTACTAAATTGGTAACTCAAATATGACAGATGAATTGTCATATCACCACCGTAAATTGATATATTAGTATCATAATGATTAATGAAAAAAAACGTTGGTAAAATAATCACATTAGATTTATTGTCTGAGTTTTAAAACCACATTAAAAAATAATACAAGCGTCATATTAATTTTATTTTACAAGTACAAAAACTTATAATATCTTCTTACTAAAAAGATAAGACCGATTTGAGCCCAATTGGTCACAATTTTGAAGGCCGAATAGGTAACCACTGAACTTGTGCTTGCCCCAATTGCCAAGCCGAACAATAGACGATCCTTGGCTAGGCTTATTCATAAGCTACAAGTTCTTCCATATCAAGAAAAAAAATTATATAGATCAGGATTGGTGAGTGTGATTTTTAGAAAATTTCAATTTTTTTTATATATTTTAAACATTATTTTTATATTTTTTTATTAATAATCTATTTTCATTTCTTAAATTTTTATAAGTTTATTTTTCAATATAAAATTATGCCTATATACCGGACATAGACAGTGTTGAGTAGCCAATTATAGCCATTATATATAGAATGAAAATGCTTATCGGCAGCACAAGATGTTTCAATAATTAAAAACACTGCCTTTTTATCAGTCGTGCTGTAAAGCTTTCTTCTTTACTTGATTTTTGTCTCTCAGCATGTGTTACACAGTTCTTAGCATCCGATGATTCCGCTTCCCTAATTCACTGTCTTTTTCTTTGTTCTGGGAACGACACTCTTGCAGCCATTGGAAGAGCTTAAGCAACGACATTAACCCTCTCCTGTCTAATTAGCTCTTGATCAAATGGATCGGTCCCTTAATAATCTTGTACTTGTCGTTTCTCTCTCCTTGTGTCTTGGTTTATGCTTGTTTCCTGGTACAGCATCAGCTAAGCTAAGAAAAAACTACTACCACAAAACTTGTCCCAATGTAGAGAACATTGTTAGAGATGCTGTCACCAAGAAATTCCGACAAACTTTCGTCACGGCTCCGGCGACGATCCGGCTCTTCTTCCATGATTGCTTTGTGCAGGTACATTGAAAGAACACCCTCGTGTCCATATTGGCTAAATCTGTTCAACCTTTCTTGTACTAATGTTTTCTTGTATTTTCTTTTGACAAGGGTTGCGATGCCTCGGTGATGATCGCATCGTCCGGTGGCAACAAGGCCGAGAAGGATCACACCGATAACCTGTCATTAGCCGGAGATGGATTCGACACTGTGATCAAAGCCAAAGAAGCAGTGGATGCGGTTCCAAGTTGCAGAAACAAGGTCTCTTGTGCTGATATATTGGCAATGGCTACACGAGATGCTATTGCACTGGTTTGTCCCCTTTCTTTCAATTTAGGAATTTACATCCATGATTTATTTGTTAAAAAAAACTCTTTTTTCTGAAATTTACTTGCACGATAAACACAATACGATCGAAAACGGATTATGATATTACAGTCAGGTGGACCATATTATGAGGTTGAGCTGGGGAGATTAGATGGGTTAAGTTCAACAGCAGCTAATGTAAACGGAAAGCTCCCTCAACCATTTTTCAACTTGAATCAGCTCAATTCTCTATTTGCAGCAAATGGATTCACCCAAAAGAACATGATTGCTCTTTCAGGTACTAACACAATTAACCACTAAATTTTATTCGAATTCCTATTTATATTATTACACAAGTAGGAATTCGAATAAAATTTTAAAACATTTGAATTATTATTTCCTCTTAAAAGTTAATAATAACAAAGAGTTGAAACATGATGATGGATAAATGTGCGTAGGGTCCCTTTGAAAGGGCTCTGTGTCCCTTGTGAGTTGATCTAGATTTATATTAGCTGGCATTAGTTAAGGAGAGTATAAAAGCAATAGGACTTTTCCTTTTGAAACTATAAAAGCAATATGATTAGGGTGTGTCTTCAAATCAACTTTTTTCTTAATATGAAAAAGGGTATTTTGAGTAGTCCCAACTTCTAGCGTTAAATCATGATTGCATATGAATAATAAGATTTGTTTATTTCTATCGTAAAAGTCCGTTATAATGATCGTCTTAATCTGACTTGTTTTATTCATAATGTCAAGATTCAAATATTAATACGTTATTAGAGAAATTATATTAGTTTAATGACATTAATGTGTGCATTTAATCATTAACACGACACACTGAATTTTGAAAATTGCAGCGGCCCACACTGTTGGATTCTCCCATTGCAGCAAGTTTGCGAACCGAATACACAATTTCAGCCATCTAAACGCAGTGGACCCTGCACTGGACCGAGGCTATGCCGCCCGGCTTCGACAAATGTGCCCCAAAAACGTTGACACCAGGGTGGCCATCGATATGGACGTGAAAACGCCAAGGAAATTCGACAACGTTTACTTTAAGAACCTGCAGAAAGGGAAGGGTCTGTTCAGCTCGGACCAGGTTTTGTTCAACGATCCGAGGTCTAAACCAACTGTAAACGGTTGGGCCAACGACTCGTATGCCTTTAGACGAGCGTTTATTGCTGCCATTACTAAGCTGGGAAGGGTAGGTGTTAAGACCGGGAACAAGGGCAATATTCGTACAAACTGTGCTGCCTTTAACTGAACCTTTTTGAAAATGAATCATGTTTTGCTTTGATGTTGTAATAACTTAAGAAATGGTTCTGTGTTAGTACCCAGTTTTCAGAGTTATAACATTCTTCATAGGTTGTGATAAACCGATTACATCAATGTCGGATTATGTTTCGATTCTGAGTCGAGGCCAACATATCATAAACACAATGTCGTATGTTATAAGAACACATCTGCAAATTCTCTTAGACCATAAAATGAAAACTTGAACCAATCCAATTATCCGAATTTTTTTCAGTATGAAGTAGATGGACAATTCGATCTGAAAAATGAGATCCTCGAAACCGATCACATAACATGAAACTTATCCTAAGATGTTTCCAAGCCAAAAATTTATAGTCCTGCTTACAAGCATATGATGCACTCAGCAATATATAGACAGTGTTCGATGATGTTGGAGTGATTGACATTGAACACCCACGGACCAGAGCCAAAGATCTAACTCCACACTCAGAACCTGAAAATCACAAAAAAGAGAAAAGAAGATCCATAAGAACAAAAAAAAGGGAGAAAAAACGAAAACCGAGGAACTGCATAGACTAAGATCATCTAAGTTGGACTAACATAAACATTGAACAACATCCTCAGCACAATCGGTTATTTCGGTTTAATACAATCCAGATCACTTGCAAATGAAAACTCAGCATTCGTAGCATATAATCAATTTTCCAAGAATTCCTCACCAAAAGGAATATAGGTCGACTCGAAATCGATTTCTTCCATCAAGGAATTGAAATGATGGCACTACATGATTCATTTGAGGGCATAAAAACCTTTACTAAGAGAGTTTTACACAGTGATGACTCATAAATCAACATTAAGAGTAAGCATACGATCACGTTTAAAGAATTCCGACCTACCTGCTTTCCGGACGTTATACTTAGTAACACTCTCATTTTCTCCACAGCATAAATCGAACATGCCCGAAGTTCAACTTCCTCTTCAGTTCCAGCACCTATTTCGCTGCTAGCCTGAATGGCATTTGCAATGCTCGAACTATATTTCAGCACACCAAGCTCCTGGAGCACAGCTGGAACAATATAATCAGCAAACATAGTGATCGAACCAAAATCATTGAATTCTCCATATCCTTGGCCCTTGAATGCACCCTACAAGTCAGCAGCAAATATTTGTGCTCTTTGTACAAGAATACCAGATACGTTTATACACCGAGCGATCTCGAAAGCCTGCAATATTTTCATCAAACAGAGTAAACTTTTCGATTCTTCAGCGTGATGCATTTTCGGTTAATTATATCAAATCGATTCGAAACTGTACCCGGAAAATGACGTGTGACGAGTGCGACAAGCTTTACAGCGGATTTTCCACACGATTCAACAAGTTTTGATGCCTCACCCTCAAAGCTTCTTTCAAGTTCAAAACCAACCTAAACCACGAAAATCAATGATAGTGAACGCAGATTAACAAGGCAATACCATCCATACTATCTATGGAATTCGAATGCTGAAAAAAATGAACTTAAATACTTCCGAGATGAGACAAAAACCCCAGTGATTAGTAGAACATACTGCACCTCATGCAACAAGCGATCCCATTCCTCATCCGAAGGAAGTGGTCGAGGCCATTTCAATAGCTCGCGCAGTTGAGGACCTGAATACAAATATCAGCGCATCATTTCCTATCAACACGAAGAGCTTACGAATATGATCGTGAAGGTTATGACAGTGTCAAACACATAAACAAGGCCACTTATTGATAGGAGAACATGTCAACCTTTACATAAACGGTATTCACAGACAAGAGAAGACCGGAAGTTCAAGACCAAACAGAATTACCTGTGTATTTTTGCAGACAATTGGCTTCGAATGCAGAGTTGTCATTAAGCAAAGCATCCTTTGATCCCTTGGCCAAATGATCATAATTTAGATCCTTATTTACGAATAGTAAAACCAATACACAAGGGGGAGAAAACGTAAGTCTAGAATTCTAATACTCATTAATGGTAATAACAAATGTTTTGCTAACCATTAATTCCTTTTGCACAGACAGATTACAATGAAGCCAAAATAATATCATTAACCAAAAGTATACTTCAGTGTTTCTACATTTTCAAAGAGAAAACCCCAGAACATGTAAAAAGAAAAAAAAAGGAATTTACCGGCCAAAAACAGAAATTCAAAGCATCCAAAACAAAAAGGTATTGAACGGTGAGGGGTCCATTGTCAAAATAATGAATCCCTTCGTAATCCCACTCCACTTTGTGAAAAGACTCTTTCATATTCTCCACTACTTTCTCGATCCCTGCACTCCAAAAAAACCCCACAATCATATTCTTTTTAACGTAGAAGAAACCCCACATTTTCAATAAAAAAACTGAGGAATATACACACACACATATATATAGAGAAAGAGAAGAACCTGAAGAATCAATAGTAACGTGAGAAGAATTATGAGCCACCCAAGCAGAGCTTCCTCTCACTTCCTCTCACTTCCTCCATAGCCGCTGCTTTTAGAGAAGAATAAGAAAAACAAAAACGGTGTCCTTTGAACAACTCTAGAGAAAACCAAAGACTTTTAAAAGCCAAAAAGGGAAGACATAATGGTCTTCCTTTTTTTATACTAACACGCATGAACCCATATTTCACGAGCTATTTGTTTGCGTTTATTCAAGCTTTTCCCGTTTTTGTGGTCTGACATTAATCATATCTTACTCCGGGGACAACACAAAAGGCAGAGAGTTCTCTAGAACCTTAAAAAAAAAAAATGAGTAATAACTTTTTATTTTTTTATGTTTGAAGATTCATCTTTTAGTAGTAATTAAAAAGATAAAAAATAGATATTACACACTCAAATTTAGTTCGGATATCAATTGTTGTTTATTGCCTCCTAGTATGTTGATGGTTCACCGTCCTCTGTTAAAAGACAGTATGTAATATTACCTTCTATAACATAATCTGAGTGCCAATTGAGACGGCTTCTTACATGATCTGATTGACGAGTTGTTGGTGCTTCAGAACTCTCTAGTTCTTGTTCATCATGTGTTGGTTCTGCTTCTGAAGAATCTCCTTGTTCAAACTCCTTTTCCACATTTATCTGTGTAGTCTTTGACTTTTCAGTGCTATCATCGTTTTCTTTTCTTTGTAGTTTATCCTCTACAAAGATAACATCTTGCTGATGATCACTTTGCGGGCAGTGGGATCCCAAAGCATTCTAGCTTTCTTCCAATACTAGAGAGAATTTAGAGAGTTTCTTGAGAGTTGTTTTCTCCTTTTTATCAAGAGAGAATTATCATTGTTTTCTCCTTGGTAGATCGAGAGAGGTTGTAATTCATATTTTCTCATAGTGAAATTCTTCTACCATTGCCCGTGGTTTTTACCCTAAATATTTTAGGGGTTTTCCACGTAAATTTTGTGTCTCTTTTATCTTTATTTTTATTTTCTCAAATTATCAGTTGCGATTTTTCTCTATCCGATAGCCGTTGAGAAAATAAAAAATGAAGATAAAAGAAACACAAAATTTACGTGGAAAATTCCTAAAATATTTAGGGTAAAAAACCACGGGCAACGGTAGAAGAATTTCACTATGAGAAAATAGGAATTACAACCTCTCTCGATCTACCAAGGAGAAAACAATGATAATTCTCTCTTGATAAAAAGGAGAAAACAACTCTCAAGAAATTCTCTAAATTCTCTCTAGTATTGGAAGAAAGCTAGAATGTTTTGGGATAATTTTGAAGCTAAATGAGCTAGGGTATTTACAGTTGAAGCTCTAAGGACTAATTTGTAAATACCCTAAATTATAATGGCTAAAATTATGATTTTACCATTGTCCAAAATTCAACAAAAACCCAACCTTTTTGACAATTTTTTTTTCGTTGGAATTTTTTTTATTAGCACCTTTCGGTGCTTGCCAAGACTTTTCAACAATCTCCCACTTGAAGATTTGATTGGAAAAATCATATCTTCACACCATTATTTCTACCTTGTACCTTCATGTTGCTTACGTTTCTGACAGGCCACAGGAGGATCGACACCAGGTAAATTTATTAGCATTGATTGCCTTCGTCATGAAATATGCTATGTTGTCTTTGGTATGGATCTTCTGTATGTCTACCGTTCCTTCTTCCACCTTTTCACGAATGAAGTGGTACTGAACTCGTATGTGTTTTGTCCTTGAATGAAATGTTGGATTCTTTGCTAGATGCAAGGCGCTTTGACTATCACAAAATAGAGAGACATACTCTTGATTATGCCCAAACTCCTCCAACAGCATCTTCAACCAAATTGCTTCTTTACTGGCTTGTGTAGCTGCTACATATTCTTCCTCTGTTGTGGATGTAGCCACAACTGATTGCAACTTAGAAACCCAGCTTACAGCTCCACCAGCAACTTTGAACACATACCTTGTAGTAGATTTGCTTTTATCCAAATCCCCTGCATAGTCAAAATCTACATACCCATTGATTAGTAAATTTGATCCTCCGTAACATAATGCAACATTTGGGGTCCCTTTGATGTATCTCAGGATCCTCTTTATTGTATTTCAATGCTCTATGCCTGGATTCGCCATGTACCGACTAACCACTCCTACTGTTTGTGCAATGTCTGGTCTTGTGCATATCATAGCAAACATTAAACTTCCCACTGCTGATGCATACGGTACTCGAGACATCTCCATCCTCTCTTCTTCACTGCTAGGACTCATACTGGAGGATAATTTTAAGTTAATAGGAAGAGGGGTAGAAATTGGCTTACAATCTTGCATGTTGAATCATGACAAGATCTTCTTCAAGTAATTCTTTTGTGAAAGCCAAATCTTCCTATTACTTCTGTCTCAGTGAATTTGCATCCCTAGAATCTTGTTTGCTGATCCCAAGTCCTTCATTTCAAATTCCCTAGCCAGTTGTGCATTCAATTCTTCAATATGATCTTTGTTGGGTCCTGCAACCAACATGTCATCTACATACAACAACAATATAACAAAATTGTTATCACCAGACCTCTTGAAATAAGCACAAGGGTCTGCATTAAGT